CCTGTTGTCAGGAGCCCTGGAATACAGGCAGCCATAACCCTCCATCCCAAATATGAGACAGTTCAAGCTAAATGATCAAATCATTAATGGCAGTTTTCCTGAATTAGAGGACTTTAGAGCTGGACAGAGATCAAGAAATCCGACTGCCATGTTTTTTAGATAAGAAATAAAGATTCAGCTGGGCGCCAGTGGTCTACAACTGTAATCCCATCACTTAGGGAGGCTGAGGTGGGCAGATCTCTTGAGCTCATGAGTTCGAGACCAGCCTGGCCAACACTGTGAAACCCAGTCTCCACTAAAAATATAAAAATTAGGCCGGGCATGGTGGCTCACGCCTGTAATCCTAGCACTTTGGGAGGCCAAGATGGGTGGATCACCTGAGGTCAGGAGTTCAAGACCAGCCTGGCCATCATGGTGAAACTCCATCTTTAATTTAAAAAAAAAAGATTACAAAAATTAGCCAGGCATGGTGGCACATGTCTATAATCCCTGCTACTTGGGAAGCTGAGGCATGAGAATCACTTGAACCCAGGAGATGGAGGTTGCAGTAAGTTGAGATCACACCACTGCACTCCAGCCTAGGCGACAGACAAGGCTGTCTCAATCAATCAATCAAGGTTCACATTAGTGAAATCATTTGCTACTTAAAGGCAGAGATGGATCCAGAACCCAAATATCCTGCCTGCTAACATTTTTCCTTTAATAGATTGCCTATGCCAGTTTCTTTATGTGTATAAATACATCAAATAATTACAGAAAAACTAGCCAACCTAGTAACAACCTAAAGATCTCAAGTTTGTGGAAAACCTCAAGTCTTAACATTAACCCAATATTAATGTGAACAAGTCAATTACCAACGTAAGTCTCCTCTCTTAGATGGAAAAATCTCAAACTAGACTGGTAAGAGCTATGGTGTAAGAAAAAAAAATTAAGAAATAATTTTTTTTAATAAAAATAAGCAGACTAGACTAGAATATGTAATTTGGAAATAATTTTCCAGTACTTCACAGCTTTTTTTTGAGTCTTGCTCTGTTGGCCAGGCTGGAGTGCAGTGGTGTGATCTGGGCTCACTGCAAGCTCCACTCCCGGGATCAAACGATTCTCCTGCCTCAGCCTCCCGAGTAGCTGGGACTACTGTGCTCAGCTAATTTTTGTATTTTTAGTGGAGACAAGGTTTCACCATGTTGGTCAGGCTGGTCTCTAACTCCTGACCTCAGGTGATCTGCCCACCTCAGCCTCCCAAAGTTCTGGGATTACAGGTGTGAGCCATCACACCTGGCTACACACAGTTTGTAAGTAGGGGAATCATGACTTGAACAAGCCTGCCTGATTCGAACCTATACTGTTACTTGATTGCTTATTTTGAAGCTTTTTTTTAAATCTTCAGAAAAGTTGAAAGAATGATACCTGGAATACTTCCACAATAACAATTCACCTATTAAACAATTTACAATTCATGTAAGATGTTAAAGCACTCTTTCCATACTCATAGGGATTTTTTTTTATTCTTCTCGTTGTTTCTGAACTATTTGAAAGTTGCTACTCAGCTAAGAGATTCCTGAATTCCTCAAAAAAAAGAAAAAAAGTTAAAAAACAACAACAAAAAAGAAGCTTCAGGCATACTTCGGCCTTAAACACTTTATCGAACGTACATTTTTTTTTTTTATTTTGAAAAACATTTTTATTTTGAAGTAACTGTGGACCTACAGAAAGGTTGCAAAAATAGTAAAAATAATATTCAAAAAAAGTTTTCAAAAATGAAAAAATAATATTCATTCAGTTTCCTCTAATATTCAACCTAATTTTAATTTTTTATCTTTTTTGAGATGGAGTTTCACTCTGTCACCCAGGCTGGAGTACCGTGGCATGATCTCTGCTCACTGCAACCACTACCTCTCGAGCTTAAGTGATCCTCCCACCTCAGCCTCCTGAGTAGCTGGGACCATAGGTGCATGCCACCATGCCCAGTTAATATTTTGTATTTTTTGTAGAGACAGGTTTTTGTCATGTAGTCCAAGCTGGTCTCAAACTCTTGAACTCAAGTGATCTGCTGGCCTCGGCCTCCCAAATTGCTGGGATTACAGGCATGAGCCATGGTGCCCAGCCTGAACCTACATTTTTTAAGCACTATGCATGTCTCTTCTTCAAAAGAAGCATTCATTAGCAAGATGAGGTCAACCATTTGGATATGCTCCCCAAAAATCTGCACTGGCTCCCCACCCCCTACCAATCACAGTCTAAAAATGTTGGTATCAGCTTCTATAAATGAATCTGAAACCGTCCACTGTTTTGCTTCCTCTTATGCACTAGTGTTCCAATCACCAGTCCATGAAAATATTAAGCAGCCTTTGTCCTCGGGCCCTTTGTTCATATTGCCCAGCCTCAAATGACACCTTATACGCCAGTTCCTTCCTAGATACAATATATAAAATAGAGGCCAGGCATGGTGGTTCATGTCTGTAATCCCAGCACTTTGGGAGGCCAAAACAGGAAGATCACTTGAGGCCAGGAGTTCAAGACCAGCCTGGGCAACAGAGCAAGATCTCATCTCTACCAAAAAAAAAAAAAGTTAAAAAAATATGTAAAATAGCAGGCTGAACATGGTGGCTCATGCCTGTAATCACAGCGCTTTGGAAGGCGGAGGCAGGTGGATCATCTGAGGTCAGAAGTTCAAGACCAGCCTGGCCAACATGGTGAAACCCCATCTCTACTAAAAAATATAAAAAATTAGCCATGTGTGGTGGCAGGTGCCTGTAATCCCAGCTACTCGGGAAGCTGAGGCAGGAGAATCACTTGAACCCAGGAAACAGAGGTTGCAGTAAGCCAAGGTTGTGCCACTGCACTCCAGCCTGGGCAACAAAAGTGAAACTCCATCTAAAAAAAAAATATATATATATATATATATATATGTGTGTGTGTGTGTGTGTACCATTGCCATTACTGCCATTTCCACATCTCCCTCCTGGGCCCAGCCTTGACTTGTACTCCTATACCCTTTGCTTTGCTTTATTTTTCTCCATATCCCTTCTCACCATTCCATACTACACAGTGTTAGCTGTCTGTTTTTCACATGAGGGAGTGACTTGCTCTGTTTTGTTCAAAGCTGTATTCTCAGTGTCTTGAACATGTCTTGCACCTAATAAGTGCTTAGCAAATACCTGCTACGTGAATTTAACAGCTATCTGATAAGGAAAAAGGAGTTACTTTCCCCATTCTCACTTAACTCTCCAACTCCCACTCTTCTGCCCCTACACGGCAAAACCAAGCTTATGTCAAGAGCTTGGCAAGCATCATCTGCCTGGGGGTTTATGCTCACTAAAACTGTGATTATCCTCCGGTCAATCATGGGGAAAAAATAAAAAATAAACGTATGGGCTGAGTACAGTGGCTCATGCCTGCAGTCCCAGCACTTTGAGAGGCCAAGGCAGGAGGATTGCTTGAGCTCAGGAGTTTGAAAGCTGACTGGGCAACACGGTGAAACACCATCTCTACAAAAACCACTAAAACTAGCCAGGTGTAGTAGCATGCACTGTGGTCCGAGCTACTTGGGAGGCTGAGGGGAAGGACTGCTTGAACCCAGGAGGTCTACGCTGCAATTAGCCTAGATCATGCCACAGCACTTCTAGCCTGGGTGACACAGCAAGACCAGGTCTCAAAGAAAAAAAGTCAAATCAGAAATAAGCAAAAATAAAAGTGTGATTGTTGCTTTCCTCAAAAATTACCCCTAGCCCAGAATATGTTCATCTCTAGATCTTCCCCTAGGAGGCAGCACATTACAGTACAATGATTTTGAAATACAGGAAGCTGTTAGCTTCTTAGGACCACCCCTGCAAATCCAAGGATGAGATCCAGGACTCCGCACCCTAGATGATACTGAACAGTGAGCTTAGGACCACACTTGGAGAATCACTGGATGTGTTCTGGAAGTCCAACAGACCTCTGTTCAGATCCCAGCTACACTGTTCAGCAGCCATACGGCACCGAGTAAAACTTCACTTTACTCAGCATCAATTCCTGACCTGTAAAATGGGGTAACATTGCCTAACTTGCTGGCTAACACAACTACCTACCACAGTGCCTGGCACATAGCATTTACTCAATAAACAATAGCTATCAGTCTCTGTCCTGCCTTCAGGTTCCTGGGTTTTGTTGTTGTTGTTTTGTTTAAAGGATTAATTCCTTTTCAACAGCTTTGGGCCTCCATTTCTTATTGATTCAATTTTCAAAAACAAAAGTTCTGCTTAATCTAGTATTGCATATTGCATTAGTTGTAGATTTCACAACAACAGCTCTTAGGAAGGAAGAAAATAAGGTTAACTAGAACGGGCGTCAGAAGGAAATTTAAGTTCTGAACGTTTCTAACTCACTGTGATCCCCAATCTGTGCAGGGAAGGAGTCCAGCCTAATAGTCTATGAGTTTGGAGAGCTGAGTACAGGTCCTAGCTCTGCAAGACTTGCTGTGTAATTTTAGGCAAGGCTCTGGGCCCTCTCTGTCTTCTCAATGTTTCCATCCATCCAGTGAAAGAATTTCAACTTAGAGTATAAGTCAGAAAGAAGAACAGGTCCTGATTCTGTACTTAATCGGGTGTGTGATTTTTAATAACCAACATAACCAAGCCGTCTCGCCTGTCCAGGCCTCAGTTTCCCCATCTGTCCGGGTGGTGGTGGCTCCTATCTCCTCGGTCCCGCCTCCAGATTTTCAACGAGGACTGGAAAAACAGTGGGGTGCGTGGCACCAGGCAAGATATGCGGGATGACGGGTGGGTGGGCAGCCGCCAGCCAGAGGGGCGGGCCCAGATACGAGGGGTGCAGTGCCACTCACCCGGCCCCAGACCACTCGGGAAATAACCCGACACACGCCCCGCTCCACGGCGGGAACCCCTGATCTGGGCTTCTACCAGGCGGGGACCCAGACAGGATGCCTCTGGTAGGGGCCCGCTGACCGAGTGGCGGCCAGCACCGCTCCCTCCCTCTTCCCTGGTCGGCTTCCCTCTTCTCACCTCTTGGGTCCGGGCAGCCCCACGCAATCAGGCGCCGCGGCGCGCGTCTTCCACAGTGGCGAGACTGAGGTGGCCACCGCGGCGCCGACAGAGCTAAACCCGCTCGTCCCTTTCCCCGCCCATTGCTCGGCCTCCGGAGGAGGCGGGGCCCGGCTGGCGAGACCCAGGGGCGCTGCGAGGACTCACCGGCGGAGAGGTGCGGGAGGCAGAACCGGTGCGAATCCCCGCGGCTGAGACAGTCACGTGGTTCCGCCGAGCGAGCGACGTGACCACCAACCAATAACTTGGCCCCGACCGGCGAGAGTGCCGCCCCCTGGCCGCTCTCCTCCTTGCGATTGGCTGTCCTGGGCAGAAGAGCCTACGCTACACGGATTCTTAGGGAGGTTCCGCCCCTGCATGTGTGGCGTTGACTACTCCACTGAGAGAGAGCTGATGACCGGCGTCGGCCGCCAGTCTGTGGCCGGGGTGAAGTAGCAGGAGAGGCGCGGAAGCGCTTTGCCCAAAGTTTTGAAGTGGTCAGCGTTTGCGATTGTCCACGTCTTTATCCAGGACTTCTTGGGACCCTGTTCCCTCCCACCCGCCTTTGTAGAAGGGGAAATTGAGACCTCGAACGGGAAAAGGTCTCCTAGAATATTAGAGGCTCTTGCCCCACTCTAACTCATTCCCCATCAAAGATTCCAGTAGCCAGACTAAAATGTAAATTAAATGGCCGGGCACGGTGGCTCATGCCTATAATCCCAGCACTTTGGGAGGCCGAGTAGGGAGGATAGCTTGAACCCGGGGTTCGAGACCAACCTGGGCAATATAGCGGACCCTTGTCTCTACAAAAAGTAAAATGTAAATTAAAATGTAATTGTAGTTTTTGTTAAAATCCTCAGTGGCTTTCCACGGCATTTACAGGTAAAATCAAACCCTCCGTATTCCCTCAAGGACCTGCATGCTTCAGGCACTCACCTCTGTCTCCCTTCCTTGATGATCTCCACCCATACTGTCCTCCTTTGCTCGCCAAGCTTGTTCTCTTTAGGGACCTAGACATTGTTTCTGGCTATCTGATTTCTTCTGGTCTCTCAGGTCTCAGCCAAAACACCAGCCCTCTCCACAGCTAGGCTGTCCCTGACCACCCTGTGTAAACTAGCCAGCCAGTCACATCCTTTCGGGTCATCTTGATTTAATTATCTGCCCCAAACTGGCCACTATTGAGTATTTGTTAATTTGTTCATTCTTCACCTTGTCTGTAGCTTGCATGGGTCCACTAGATGGTAGTGATGGAGTGCCTGTGAAGGAAGCATGATTAACTTCCTTCCCTATCCAGTGAATGTCTTCTCAGTCATTCAAGGCACTCCCTTTCTTATCTAGAGGTGATCCCAAGTTTCTGTCACCCATCAGATTCCGAGTTTCCAAAAAGTCATAAGCTGTTTTGGGAATCAGAACACAACACCTGGGTTCTACCAATGCTGCCCCTTGTGGCTGATGACAAATCATTTCGCCTCAATGGGCATCAACCTTTTCACCTGTCAAAGGGTAGTTAACGCCCTAGCACCCAGAGTCCTGGAGAGGGTCAAGTAATGCAATCAGTGTAAAGTACTTAGTTCAAGCCTTATTTTCCCTCCTGTTGGTCTCAGGGTTCATAGAGGCAGCTGGCAGCCCGAGTGCCACATATTATAGCCATTACCCTTCCCAAACAGCTTTTCCACAGCATAACTAATGATGTATGCACTGCGGACATGGTGAGTCAGCAAATCATTTCAGGTTGGGGCCACTTCAGGATTTACCTCCTCAGTATTTCCTGATGCAAAAATTCACTTGCATTCTTGCATGTAACATTTATTTATGTATTTATTTATTTATTTTCTTGTCTATTTTGGGACTCCAGGACCTTGCATATAACAGACAACAATGAAGATTGGCCAAATTTGGCCACGTATGGTGGCTCATGCCTGTAAGCCACTTGAGCTCAGGAGTTCCAGACCAGCCTGGACAACATGGTGAAACCCCATCTCTCCCAAAAATAGAAAAAAACAGGCATGGTAGTATGTGCCTGTAGTCCCAGCTACTCAGGAGGCTGAGGTGGGGGGATAACTTGAGCCTGGTAGGCAGAGAGAACAGTGAGCCGAGATCATGCCACTACACTCCCACCTGGGTGACAGAGTGAGACCTCATCTCAAAAAAAAAAAAAAAAAAAACCAGACCAGTCCAATTTTATACTGCCTATCATTCTTTGATTTTATTTTATACATATTAATGTGCATTACAGTTGAAGAAATTGGGGCTGAGAATATTATTACTTACCAAGTTTATTTAGCTAACAAGCAGTGGATTTTAAGATGGGATGGAGGTGGATTTTGACCTGGGAGCTGTGACATGGCAACACCCAAGATCATGCAGCTATGGCCCGGGGGCCAGGAGAAGGTGCTAGTAAAGAAGCTTTAGATTGGCCACTGGTGCCTCTTTGCCTCCTAGTTCAGCATCGCTGGCTGCTGTTTAATGTTGTGGTTTCTCCCTGACCCCACACACATCCCGAGGGGCTTCATGGAGCCGGGCTTTGGTCTGCCATGCGACCTTACCTTCCCTGATGCTCCAGTGCTCCACAGCAGGAATCAAAGGAAGGGGGTGGAGGGGTAATCAAATCCCTGCTTCTGGAAAGCTGGTTAATAATTAGCTTTACCTCGATGACATTACCTCGATGACACAGTGTTAGCAGCACTCGGATTGCTTTACCTCTCCCAGCCTGGGCATTTTCCCTCCTGTTGGTCTCAGGGTTCACAGAGGCGGCTGGCAGCCCAAGGGCCATATATTATAGCCATTACCTTCCCAGACAGCTTTTCCAAAGCATAACTAATGATGTATGCACTGGGGACATGGTAGAGTCAGCAAAGAAGTCATTTCAGGTTGGGGCCACTTCAGGATTTACCTCCTCAGCATTTACTGACCACCCACTCTTCCTAGGTGGGACAGGTCACTTCTTCTGAGCCCCACTGGACCTTGAACTCCCACTGGACCCCCACTATTGAATGAGCTATTCCCAGTGTGTTATGCAGCCTTCATTTTCACTGCTATACATGTGTTTTTTTTTTAAGAGACAAGTTCTCCCTCTGTCACCCAGGCTGGAATGCAGCGGTGAGATCATAGATCGCTGTAACCTTGAATTCCTGGGTTCAAGTGATCCTCCCACCTTAGCCTCCTGAGTAGCAAGTACCACAGTCAAACACCACCATACCCAGATAATTTTTTTATTTTTTGTAGAGATGGGGTCTCCCCATATTGCCCAGCCTGGTCTCAAACTCCTGGCCTGAAATGATCCTCCTGCCTTGGCTTCCCAAAGTATTGAGATTACAGGCATAAGCCACCATGCCTGGACCGTTTTACTTTTTTAAATTTTTAAAAAATTTTTACATTTTTACATTTACGTTTTACATTTTAAAAAAATCTTAGCTTGATTGTTCTTGTAAATAGGTAACACAAAGTAAATAAATTCAAAAGGTCAAAGGGTTTACAGGAAAAAGTAAATCTTCCTCACACCCTATACATTCTTACCCCAGTGTACCTTTCTAGAGGCAAACAGCACCCATTTCCTGTGTTGCTTTCCAGGTTTATTCTGTACCAGGAGTTCTCAGTTCTGGCTGCATAAGGTCAGGAGTTTGCAACCAGCCTGGCCAACATGGTGAAACCCTCTCTCTACTAAAAATACAATAAATTAGCTGGGCATGATGGCGGGTACCTGTAATCCCAACTACACGAGAGGCTGAGGCAAGAGAATTGCTTGAACCTGGGAGGCAGAGGTTGCAGTGAGCCGAGATTGGACTACTGGACTCCAGCCTGGGCAACAAGAGCGAGACTCCATCTCAAAAAAAAAAAAAATCTCTTGGGGAACTTTAAAAAAAATGGTAGTGTTTGGGTCCCACCACCAGATATAATTTTATTGGTGTTGAGTGGACCCAGACATTGATAGTTTTTAAAAGCCTGCCATGCAGCCGTCAGAAAGAACAAAATCATGTCCTTTGCAACAATATGGATGGAGCTGAAGGCCATTTTCCTAAGCAAAACGACTCAGACACAGAAAACCAAACACGCATGTTCTCACTTATAAGTGGGAGCTAAACAGTGGGTACACATGGTCATGAAGACGGAAATAACAGATACTGAAGACTCGGAAAGAGGAGCACAGGGTTGAAAAATTACCTGTCAGGGCCAGGCGTGGTGGCTCATGCCTGTAATCCCAGCATTTTCGGAGGCCGAGGCAGGTGGATCACCCTCCGTCAGGAGTTTGAGACCAGCCTGGCCAACATAGTGAAACCCCTTCTCTACCAAAAATATTAAAATTAGCTGGGTGGTGAGTGCCTGTAATCCCAGCTACTCAGGAGGCTGAGGCAGGAGAATCATTTGAACCTGAGGGGCGGAGTTTGTGGCAAGCCGAGATCATGCCACTTCACTCTAGCCAGGGCTAAAGAGCAAAACTCTGTCTCAAAAAAAAAAAAGAAAAGAAAAAGCTGTCAGGTACAATATTCACTATTTGGGTATTGGGTACGCTCGAAGCCCAGTTCCCTCTGGTATATAGATATTGATGTAACAAACATGCACATGTATACCTGAATCTAGAATAAATAGAAATTAAAAAAAAAAATTTAAAAAGCTCCATAGGAGATTCTTTTTTTTTTTTTTTCCTTTTTTTTGAAACAGGGTCTCACTCTGTTGCCCTGACTGGAGTATAGTGGTGCAACCGTGGCTCGCTGCAGCCTCAACTGCCTCAAGCTCAGGTGACCTTTTCACCTCAGCCTCCCAAGAAACTGGGACTATAGGCACGTGCTGCCATACTTGGCTAATTTTTGTGCTTTTTGTGGAGGTGGGGGGTCTTGCTATGTTGCTCAGGTTGGCCTTGAACTCCTGACCTCAAGTGATCCTCTCACCTCGTCCTCCCAAAGTATTGGGATTACAGGCATGAGCCACAGCTCCCAGTTGCATTAGAGATTCTAAGCACACCTAGGTTTAGCAAACCACTATTGTATGCATATATAAGACACTCTCTTTATATTTTCTAAACAAGAGAGGCATGGAATACATATCATTTTGTTCCTTTTTAAAAATTATGTGTTTAACATTATTTTATATCAGTGCATATAGAGCTGCTTTCTACCTATTTCTGAATAAATCACTCCAAAAGGTAGAAGCTTAAAGCAACAATAATTTATTTTTATTTATTTACTTTTTTTTTGAGACAGAATTTCGCTCTTGTTGCCCAAGCTGGAGTGCA